AAAAAAAAAAAAAGTTTGGGTCTTGTGGCACATGCCTGTGATCCCAGCACTTGGGAGGCTGAGGCAGGAGAACCACTACAAATTTGAGGCCAGCCTCAGCTACATAGGGGGTTCAAGTCCTGCCTGAAATATACAGTGAAGCCTTATCTCAAAAACCAAACCAAACCAAATGAGATCATACTATGGAACTCATTTCATAAAGGTTTTTTTTACCTCCTGGACACACACCCTGTTACAACTTTCTGCTCTTTGGCTTCTGGAAAGAATGTAGCAATGGAGGGGCAAGCGAGCCTCTGGTTCCACAGACATCGCATCCTCACCTCTGTCTATAGTGGTGGCTACTGCCCTGGATTTGTTCCTCTGTCTCTGCTTTTGTCATTTCAACCTTGTTCCAACTCAGAATGCCAGCTAGACAGTTCCTACTTAGTGTTTTACTTTCCCTGCAACAAGTCCAAATTCACACCTTCTTTTTCCTGAAACCAGTAATCAGTTTTGAGGGCCCGTTTATTTTCTCCTAAAACATCTCCCATACCTGATCCTTTCCGTTCCTGCCACCACGTACTAGCCCACACCCTTGTCTCAAGGGCTGTCATCCCTCACCAGGCCTCTAGGTACCAGGGCCAGTTGACCTTTGCAGTCACTACTTGGTCCCTGCCTTCTCAAGTCCCCCAGCCACACTCTCATTCAATTCCAACTGCGCTTTCCACTTTCTGGAGTAAACCACATGCAACAGACCTTCTCATGCCAATCACACCTAAGACCCTTCAACAACGTACCGGGCATTTCATATACTGGCTTTGTTTTCCTAGGGGGCAGAAAGTGGATGCCACGGAAGTTGGAAAAGTATACAGGCGCAAAGGTCAGGGAATTGGAGGAAGAGGGTTCAGAGGAGGGTTGCTGGGAAACCACCGCACCAGTGTAGGTTCCCCTCGGTCCATTTTGTCTCCTGTTCCTAGTTGCCCATATCTGTTGTTCCCCTGCATGAAGATTCGGCCATATTCATCTACCAGGCCAAAGTGGTTGTAGCCAAGAGCACAGAATAAGACCTAGGATGTGAGAGAGAGGGCAGGTGGGTACCGAGCTCCACAGAGGAACCCCGAGATCCAGACTTTCTCATCTTCTAACCCTCCACCTCCAGCTCATCCTCACCTCTCCCCAGGCCCCTTGACTCTCCCTGGTTAATCATGGATCTCTGCTCCTATTTTAGGCCCCCAAGGCCCCAGTCCCTCTGGTCTGCCCAGCCCCTCCAGGATCCTACCTTGGCAGGCAGGGAGAGAGCAAGCGGCATCTGCTGGTCCAGGGGGTCAAAGGCTTGAAGGGTCCCAAAGAGGTCACGATACACCCCTGGGGTATGCACCTCAAAATATACTCCCCCCTGGTCTGGGGGGTTGGGAGCCCTCAGTTCAGCAACTTTGGACACCCATTTCTTAAGACAACACCCCTCACACCTACCATAAAAGTTGCAAGCCCAGGAAGTATCATACCCACTAGAAAGATATCAGCTCTGATTCTTGGGAACCTAGACCCAGCTTTCCCAAGGATGCCCTAAGGGACTCAC